CATTATATTCACACTCAACACATTCTGTTCACACCTAACACATTATATTCACACTAAACACATTCTGTTCACACCATACTCATAATATTCACACTAAACACATTTTGTCACACCTAACACATTATATTCACACTAAACACATTTTGGTCACATCTAACACATTATATTCACACGCAACACATTCTGTTCACACCTAACACATTATATTCACACGCAACACATTCTGTTCACATCTAACACACTATATTGCTACCTGCCATATATCACATGCATTAACCCTGAATTCACAGTATTCCAATGATAATTCCAGTGGTGGAACCACTGACCATACTACTGCTGGCATACCTGTCCTATCTGTCTGCAGAACTGTTCCATTTCTCAGGAATTATTGGGTAAGTTTGACCCTAAGAAAAGGAGATTATTGAGAACTGACATACCCATTAAACAGTGGTTATAAACAAGAATGAAAAACCTATTTTGCTACGTTTTCAGTTTGAGAGAATTAGAAAATGGCACTACATAAAATAATTCAAAAATAATATTAGCGTTATGATATTTACTATTTTGAGAGGTGTTAAGTAATTTTATGATTTATTTCTATCTTTAACTGGATCACAATGACTCAGTCGATTTCAATATATGTTGCTTGGTGCTTTTTGAAAAAATAGGCTCATCGTCTTTTCCACTGAGTGTAGTGAGTGATGTCATTATTGTCTTCAAAACATGCAATCACCTCTTTAGGAATTCAATTATGTAACTGTCAGAAATGAAAAGTTAAAAATATATCTCCAAAAAGAAGGAAGTTAATACAGAAGTTATACCAAATGAAGCACACTTAACATACAGTGTTTTACAGTCATGCAATGTCTACATTAAGTATGATGCAATTATCATCAGCATTTAGAAAGTGATTTGTGCTGATGATAATGTTTTGATGAAAGCAGTGCTGGAAAATGTAGCTTGTGGAAGCTAAGTACATATTTACAGCTACGGTAACAGCAATTTTATTACTGCTGGCTCTAAGAACAAATGACCCAGTCTTGCTATTGCTAACATACAGTTGCAAGCTGGTGCCATCTGCCTCTCACTGTGTATGGTACTATTTGTTGAATAAATCATACACCAAACAAGCACACTTGTATTTATTATAGATGTCATATTGAATATGTTAAATAAATTACTTATAAGGTGTGAAGATAGGGGCCAAGACAGTTCCTAGAAATCTGAATGACTACAGTAATTACTCAATCTTTTCAATGGGAGAAAAATTGTGAATTTTATAGATATTGAAATTTTTTTAATCATAATTTCTTAAAATTATAGCATTGCTGCATGTATTGAGTGGTTGCAACAAACTTAAAAGGCAGGTTACTCTACAGTTCATTCTCTACAATAAAAGCACCACAAATGTAATGTAGAAATTTGATTTTTGTGATTTTAAAATTATATATCTGGAAGTTTTATCATTTTTGCCCATTGAAAAGATCAAGTCTTCGGCTCCAATAATAAAAATTCCGTGACTTGTGACAAACTGTCAATGGCAATACCAACAGTTTTCCATTACTCTATCCATTTCAGTATTTGCTGCTGCGGCCTGATGCAGGCCCACTACGCCTTCAATAACATCTCCCACAAGTCTCTCACCACCGTCACCTACTTCAGCAAAATGTTAAGGTAAGACGGGAGGTGGGATAGAACGTAATACCTTATAACGATACCTTTGTTATACATGTATGTGCTGTTATGAGTTACGCAGGGGGGGGGGTATCAGGGGCGGATCCAGAGATGTTCTGAGAGTCTTCCAAGTTATCTTTATTGATCCATCCTCCATTTTTGACCGTCTTCCGACATAAAAAATTAGATACCCGTCAATGTAAACTTGAAAATCTGACCGTCTTCCGGAAGACCCAGAAGACGGCCTAAATCCGCCCCTGGGTATGGTATGTCAGTAAAAAAATGTGAAAAAAAAAATTGGTTATGTGCTCTGTCATGTATATATATATGCCATACAAGAATTTATCACCAACTGATATTCAGATGTTTTTGAAAACTTACCTCAGTATTCCCATCTGTTGCCTCCAATAACTGGAACCAAGAAAGCCATGCTGATATTAGAGGCAAGTTTCCAGAAACTCTGAAACTCAGGGTGTACTTTATACAGGACTTTTAATACTTGTGATATATATATATTTTAATTACTATTCCAGTACTGCCAGTGATTGTATGATCTTCATGTTCTTGGGTTTAACACTGGTCAGACCAGACCATGACTGGCATACTGGGTTCACTCTCTGGACTCTGTTCCTTTGTTTAGTGATCAGGTTTATGAGTAAGTATGGAGATGGAGTAGGTATTGTGTTAGATGTGCCAGAGAGATTGTGACGGTTGTGCCACATTCTCCATGACCAGATCATGACAGCACATAGCAGGGATCACTCTCTGGAGTCTATTCCTTTGTTTAGTATTAAATCAGATTATATATATAAGTAAGTGATAATTTTGTATGGACATTGCGTTAGAGATACCAGACATTGTGTTAGATGTTCTAAACATTGCATTAGTTGTGCCAGGTAGATTGTGATAGTTGTGCCAGAGTCTAACATGTAAGAATACATTTAAACAGTACTTAAAGCACTGAGCTAATTGATATTTTTGACCAGGTAAATAGGTTGCTGAGGCCTACAAGTCCAAGCCGGGGCAAGTGGGGAGGGGCTGAATAGTTAAAGGCATATGCTGTAATTGTCTGATGTATGTTACAGGTGTGTTTGGTCTGACATTGATTGCTAATAAGCTGTACAGGCTCAGGAAGATTGAGCTGGAGGAACAGTTCATCATGGTAAGACAGAGTATGATACTTTGAAATGAACTGTCAATCAAATTCTGTTTTTGATTTCAGTATATTAATATATCTGAGTACATGCCAACTTTCTTATAATTACATTCAGTAAAACTGAAGAGTTTTACAATGTCACTGATTAGTGTTATTGATGAGAGGATTTATGTTATAAAATGTGCCAACTTTCAGGCATATGGCGGACTTAGAGGAGCCGTGTGCTTTTCTTTGGTGGCCATGTTGAATGAGAACGACGTGCCCCGCTTCAGAGCTTTCCTGACTACTACACTGGTTGTTATCATATTTACAGTATTTATACAGGTACGGGAAGCTACACGTACTAGTATATTAAAATGGCATATCTGAAACCATCCATTTCCTTTCCTGCCCCTCTGATCCCCTACACAAATAAATGAAGAAATAGGTTTAGCATTTAAATAGTTTGGGCACTTGACATACTTTTATAAAGGTTTTTGATCCCCCCCGAAACAATTGTAACACCTACTGATGTGAGGTTGTTGTCGAATTCTCTATTGTCAAATATTGCAAGTCTATGTATAGATAAAATCCCCACAAAAAATTACATATTTGTCTTCACATGCTTATGTATATATTGCACATGAAATATATTACGTACATGTAATTATTGTATATGAAATATATTACATGTGCAATGTATACATAATAATACAAATACTAAAAGTCAAATCATTTGTTTTACAGGGTGGTACCATCAAGCCACTGGTGAAATTGTTGCAGATCAAAAAAAAGAAAAATAAGGTTGTGAGCATGAGTGAAGAGATTAATTACCATGTAAGTTTTATGTCTCCAAAATTAACCCTCCTCTCTCCCTCTCTCTCTCTCCCTCTCCCTCTCTCTATCCTCGCTCCTGTAAAAGATAAAATTAAAGTAAAGGGATAGAACAGTTCTCCCTTACTTCTTTTAATAAGTAAAATGTAAGAAGAATACTTTTTCTTCTCTGTAAACCATACTGTAAACTTAAGCATGTTGTAACAAATACTGACTACTGCTTCATATCTGTAATGTAAGTATCCTGAATTAGTAGCAGAAGAAGTAAAAAATTAATAAGTTATGTTTGAGATAAAGTTTTTATAGTCAGAGGTTGGATATAGTGGCAAGGCAAAGCACCCTCTCCTGGGGTCGGGGTGGGAGGGGGGGGGGGGCAAGACCACTTATGTAAAGCCAGCATTATATGGAGGAGATAAATTTTTGGGTATTGTCACGCTCTTACCTTAACTATGGGGAAGTCATAGATAAGAAACAATTGTATCACTCCAGGTGACAGACCATGTTCTAGCTGGTATTGAGGAGATCATGGGAACTCATGGTGATCACTGGTTGAGGGTGAGTGTCACACCTAACACATTCTGTCACATCCAACACATTTAGTTGTCCATGCATCTCACCTATCACATTTCATCACAATTTACTGCTTCACCTTCAATTCTGTTTCAATGACATAAACCATTCCATATTTACCAATTGTCATTTTTTTTATTCAAATTACTTTATTGATTTTACAAGAATGAAAAGAATTGAAAGTTTTAGTTTGTTGTGAATGTACAGACAATTGAACAGGATATTCACAAAATTGTTGAAGTTGTTATATTATATATGCTCCAATTTGAAGCACATTTTAGTAGCAGTTCATCTTCAGTGGGAAATATGAAAACAGGGAAAGGTTTTATTTCATCAAAATTCTATTCTATTCATGGATCTTTGGATCTTCATTAATATTCTATTCTTGGATCTTTGTCTGTATAGAGGAAATTGTATTTCTCTTTTCTCAGGAAAGTGTCAATAGATTGGACTTGCAGTACTTAAAGAAGTGGCTTCAGAACAATCCCCAGAGGCATGATGAACAAATCATGGAATTATTCCAGGAAATAGCTCTCAGGTACTGTATTTTACTGGTATTCTAGATAATAATTTTATAATAACTCTTAAGATGGGGTATTTCATTAATATAGATGATTATGAAATAAGATGGATCTTAGAAACAGCCACTTGCTAATGAAAAGATAACAGTGAGATATACCTGGAAGGTACGTAGGCGTTTATAATCCAGATTCCAAAAATGAAGTTTTCCCTGCATGTAATTATTCAGTTATTTACCATCTACCTTTGTCCCGATTAAAAACAACTAAAAACAATAAAATGTTATAGAATAAAAGCTTCATGGAAGGGTATTTTATTAATATAGATAATTGTGAAATAAGATAGCTCTTAGAAAGATCTGTTTGCTGATAAAAAGATAACTGTGAAATAAAACCTTGAAGATGTGATAAACGAGACATGGAGCTATTCTTCCAAAGTGTACCACTGCAGACTGTATTGAAAAAGTATATCACTAAGGTGTCTTTGTTATATTTTAAGTATCATGTTATGGTACTCGAAGATGTTATACTGTAAAAGTAGATTATGCTGCTTTTGGGAGAGATGCGTGTAGCTCCCTTCAAAAATGCTTTACAATTTGCAGTGATATAATATTATAGAGTTAACACATTTATATGAAATGTTTCAAGTAAAGCATTTAAAAGACTTTACATTTCTGTTGTTTGAGCAAGCATCTACCATTTTACAACATGCAAAAGAAATATCTCCTGCCAGATTTCTTAGATTAGATGTAAATTAAGTCACCAGGCTGTATAGAGTAGCTTATTTTTTGTCAGTTGATCTCTGTGCTCTCTTTCTCTTTCAAGGCAGCACTACGAGAACGTTGCAGGAACAGAGGCAGCCAAGAGATGGGCAAGCAGCATTGATATTGCCCCAGAGTTGTGAGTTTTATTTCACTTCTTGAGATGTATATACTTAGTGTATGTCAGTGTTGAATGATAAAAGTGTTTTCACATGCGTGGAACTGAGAGTTTTGTGTTGTATGAATGTGGGTAAAAATCTTAACCGTATAGCACCAGTTGCTTAAGCTTTAAATGTTAATCAAATCAGCGTAATATTTTTTCGGGGGGGGGGGGGGGGTGGGGGTAAGATTGTTTGTGGAAAAAATGATAGGTTTAGGGAGGGGGGGGAGATGCTGGGATAAGCTTTTCTGATCTGATATGAGTGTTTTCAGTATTGTTGTGTATTCGGTAGCTTTGTGATTTATAGTAATCATGTTTAAAGTAATGTTTTTAGTTAAGTTAGTCCAGCCCAACATAGTACAGTCCTGGCCAGGAAGTCATTTGACCATGGCCACATTCACAACCAAAGTTGACCTACAGACTAACAGATCCGCGGATTAAATATGGCTGTATGGAATCTATTCAGTGTTAATTAAGGGATCATGTGGCAAGCTTTCAAGTGGATTGGCCATATTTGATCCACGGATCTATTAGTCTGCAGAACAACTGGTTGTGGATACGACCTAAGTTTAGTTCAACAAGGGAAGCTATCTGTGACATGCTGCTAGGGCTAATGTAATTACAGTAACAGTGGGTGGATAAATGGAATGATTAGATGAGCTTGTGGGGAGCTGATCTTAATCAGACAGATTGCAGGGTTGACAAGAGACCATGTATTTTTGTGTCAAAGAGGGAGACTTTTGTAATTCCCAATTACCTACCAGTAGTTTAATTTTGAATTATACATTCAAGATGCCTTCTTAGCAATTTATATCAATTATAAATATATCACCACTTACCAAGTTTCTTACAGGAGGAATCCGAAATGTAAACTCAAAACTTCTTTAAAAAAAGAAGTTTGCTCCTTTATCATCTAATTTTTTGTAAATCATTTGTTAATATGACTGATTGTTGGCATAATTCTCATCATAAATAATTCCTTTTGTTGCCTGTAGTGAAGGGGATGAACCACCAAAGTCTCCGTATGTATCAGAGAACAGGTTATTTTTACTTATGAATTGCTTTTCAAACCTTATTGACTTATACCTTCTTGGTGCATACTGTAACCCAAACTTTCAGAATGTCCCCTTTGTTATCAGTTGTAAGGATGCTTTGAAATCATCTTTCAGTGTGCTGAAGGGTAACATCATGGAATTTTGTGCTTGACATAAGCATTTCATGTTTTGCATGTACCAGTAGGTGACACCATCAGTTTTTGTGGCCATGTTGATGACATCATCAGTTGTTGAGCTCATTTGTATGACATCAGTAGTGGATGTTTATAATCATGATGTGAAATACTATGATATCGGTATATTGTCACCAACTGAAATTCTTTGTGAATGACATAAGTTTAGATGTGCTCATTTGTGTTAAGTCACCACTTATTGTGTACTTTTGTATGATGTCATCATATTGTGCTCATCACTTACAGAACCTTACAGCCCCTTGACTTTGTTATCCAGAAAACTGATAATGCTCGACACAAGCACAACTTGGGCATGGCAACACTGATCTGCTTTTATAAATGTCATTTCTATGCAGTCAAAGTTACAGCTTTTTTTTTTCTCGACCATCTTTTTCAATTTTATGTGATGGTTACATAATCAGTTTTGATCATGTGAGTTCAAACATCATCCCTTTTGTATTTTAAGTCCACTTTGGTAGCTTAAAGGGCTTGGTATGTTAAAGAGAGGTTTGGTTATGAAGCCACTGTCTGCTGGCTTGCTTTGGACTGTTATACAGCAACTGGGGGTGTTACACACAAAGAATGTGAAGAATGGATTTGGGGCACTTTGGTAGATCTTGCATTTAGAGAGTGGATATGTTGTTACAATGCTTGAACTTGATATTTTCTGTAAATCCGAACAGTAACCCAGAAACCTACTGATGGATTGAGACTTGGCTATTGGGCATTAAAGTAACATCTAAGTAAATGTATTTGCCACCAGACCAGAAATAATGTCACTTAAACCGGCAGGACCTTGCATTGCTGATAACCCAACTCAGTTTATTAGGCTTTTCGTGAAAAAATTTGTATCTTACAGAAAGCTATCATTAATAATGCCTTTTGATTGTAGCATGTTTTTATTTTTTAAAAATTAGCCCCGAGTCCGGAAGCATGGAGGCTTTTGATTTTAAATATAAATTTGAGTTCATACAATAATTTTGATAAGTTTCACTGTTAATTGGTGAATTGTATTGTAATGAAAGGTATTATGGGACAAATGCACGTGTAGTAGTCATTATGTTTATAATATTTCATATGTATTGTCTTCATTATTTTAATTCCATCCTTTTTTTTTCAAATAGGGCATTGAGTAAATATACATGATTGAGGCCATATATTCACCTGAAAAGTCACATAGATTATACAGTCACTTTTGATGGCACAACAAGTCACAATCAGACATAAATGTTGTCACAGCTAACACATTCAGTCACATGACAGAATTAACCAATTGAAATATAAGAATTTTCCTTTCAGGTCTCCAGAAGCTTTGAAAGATCTTTTGCATGAATACATGCAGGTTACAACGGCCATATTGCACAGAACAACAGACTTGGAAAAAAGGTTAATTTTCCCAGACTTTAACCAGATGTGAAAACCTCCACACATTGGTTTTATTTGTGATGTTTTGGTGTTAAAATAATTATTTTAATTAATACCAAGAAGTGAAAATCAAACTGTTTTGTCACATTTGTCAGAACAATTTATGCCCAAGCTGATGGGGAAAAAAGTGTCAGAAAAATTTCATCACTGATTTGAGGAAATCAGTGTTAATATTTTACTAAAGAAATATTGCAAGAGCTGCAGTGATCCCTGAAAATGTGGTACATTATATCGTTATATGCATGTTGAAAGAGCAGCGTCCCTGTTATGGCTACATTGTAACAAATGCCTCAATATCAATCCCTAACAATACCCTAATGATATCTTTCTTATTAATTATTGTCATTGCATGCCCAGGTGGAGGTTTATTCCAGAATACCCTTGTGTTTGAGGTCCAGATACCACAGTAAATAGACCTTTTTGATCAGTTTTCAGATTTATTTGGGTGGTGCTTGTGGTTTGACAAGAGGCCTTGGGTGCAGATCAATATTGTTTTAGGAGAAATTGCCACTGGGTTGCAGGTTGAAGGTCATCAACTTTTTCATGGGATCATATTATAAAAACTATTAAAAGTATTGTGAAGTGGTGAAAGCAGCTCATTTCTAATTTGCCGTTCTGTGTGTGTGTGTGTGTGTGTGTGTGTGTGTGTGTGTGTCTGTGTGTGTGTGTGTGTGTGTGATTACAGATCCCTGCAGATTAAGGCCATTAGGCTTCATCTAGGATACCAGTCTTCAGAATTGCATACTTATTGTATTTTTTCATTCATTTGACAAGTTCATTCAAGATTTATGCCATGGAAGGGTCTGCAGTTTAAACACTGTTGTGGTAAGGTCACCTTGACCTTAAACTGAATAGTTACGATTATGATTTCACTGATCATGGTGAGAGTGAAGAGAGGAGGGTGTGATATGACCTATTTTTAATTGTGAGACTGCATTTTTGGTATGAAGAAAGTTGCCCAAGTCTCAGAGAAATAGGCCTTTTTAATACTGCTTTAGCTTATGATAAAGGAGTGCATATTTTGTATGCCAATAATTTGGAAATGGGCGGTGAGGTCGGACTGGTTGGCAGGAAGTAATATATGGCCAGTGCTTTCAGTGGTTAAAAAGAGCATCATAAAAAGGTTGTAGATTAGGCAACTTGTATAAAATGGGGCTGTGGTTTAGACACAAATGAATATGAATAAAAAACTATTTTTTACCCAATTTTACTTGATTTTTGTTTCATTTGTGATTAGGTGGTTATATCTAAAACTACTATTTTATCCAGTCTTAACCTTTATAGTCCAATGAGATTGAAAAAAATATAACCACATAAATTTTGTGTTAATATACAGAGTGAAAATATGAGGAATACATTAAGGAAGCAAAGAAAAAATAGACTTATGAGTATTTTTGAGTTTGGAAATCGTAGAGTGATGGTTGGTAAGTATAATAAAATGACTGAATGTGTCACAAAAAATTGTTAATTATATTTTTTTTACCTGAATCCTGTATATAGTCCATTCAATCCAGTTACTTAAATCAAGTATGATAAATTCATTAAATTTTCTTTTTGTCTGTTATCATTGACAACTTTCTCAGTTTCTTTTGATAAAATTGAGATATTGCTGTGCTGGAAGTGCTTGTACCTAAGACCCCATTCCCATAGATATTAAGATTGATCTATCCCCCTGGGGAGTCTCACTAAATAGGTGTCAGCTTAACAGGCCTAAATATCTGTCCCACCTACTAAAAGTTGTAAGGGGGTAATTTACTATGGTGCACGCTCAGCTGACAGCAATTTAGCTTGAACCTTCAGGGAGTTAGGTCGATCTTAAATATGGCCTTTCATGTAAACTTTATCTGACCCCACCCCACCCCTCCCGCAACTCCCAATTTAAAACTGTCCATTCAGGACCATTTTACCCTTTACATTATACCCTTTTACATTTTATAAATTAGTTATACATGTAACTGTTTTTATATTTTGTCACTTACAAAAGGTGTATGTTAACTTTTTTCTTAAAATTTTCTACATGTGTTGTGTTTGTAAAGATCGTTAGGATGGACAAAGTACATTCGAAAAAGATTTAATATAGATGGTAAATGTTTTTTTTTCCATAAGACATTTTGGTTTGCCGACTTTTATGCATGTTGTGAATTATTCCATGAAGGAAATCCCAATTGAATTAGTGACCTTATATCCATGTGCATGTTTGCTTAATGTCACATGACATCATGTTGATTTTTTTTTTTTTTCAGTTTTATAACTTGATGTGTTTGTTTGTGTTTGATTTCATAAATGGCAAATGTCTAATTTAATTTCTTGATAATATTGGTATTAATATGTATAAATGTTGAATTATGATGATGCACTGACATTAATTTATTTTCATTTTTTTTTTTTTTTCAGTGATAGAGAGAAGCTTGCTCAAAGGATTAGAAGGTAAGAAGTAAATTAATGGATTTTTCTCTTCACAACTAGAAATACTTTAATACTAGTTACCATCTGTGTTGTATCTGCTTTGTATAGTTTGGCTTCGGTGTGCGACTGCCATTCACCTGATTTTATTTAAACTAGATCATGAGGATTTTATTAGGTCTTTGATTGTCATAAGATTGTAATTAGCCATTAATTTGAATTCTAACATCATAATTTAAGAAATGATGATTGTTATTGAAATGACAGAGAGAAATGGAGATTCTTAGTAAGTCATTAACTTCAGTTAAGTCGGGTTAGTGTCTAGAGTGTTTGTGTCTTTATGAAAGGTTGACTTCTCATATTCTCCCACTGTGAAATAAGATATTAAGCAATTTTTTTTTAAAGTTTTTCTTTGTTTAGGTTATTAAGATATGCCATTGCATTAATTTCTTTGAATTTTTTTCATTATGGTCACACAATTTAAGTACATGCTCATTTATGCATTTATGCCTTTATCAGTTTATTTAGTTCAAGTATTAACTAATTTGTTTATTCATTCGTTCATATATTATTCAATCATTTCTCGCTTGCAGTGGGTCTGGGGGATCCCTAGATTTCAATCACGAACTTCACGTGCCAACTGTACCTCGTCCCTCCCTCCCCTTCTTGGCAGTTAGAAGGTACAGTGTATTCGGGGATGTACAGGCACCACAGTTTGCATGGGTGCTGCCAATTGGTTCCCCAAACCATGTATCTCTGTGTTCATGCAACATGGAGAATGGTCCTTTGAGGATTAAAATTTTCTCTAGCCCTTTGCACATTAGTTAGAGTTGTTAGAAGCATTTTAGGTTGTGATTTCAGGCATGTTTTTTGGCCACTGTATACATTTGTCTGTCAGAGAATTATTGTTATTATTATTATTTTAAAGGGTTTAAGTTTGTATAAATTCTGTATCGATTTTGCTG